GAGATCAGGAACAAGACAAAGATGCCCATTTTCCCTATTGTACTGGAAGTCCTAGTCAGATCAATTAGTCAAGACAAAAAGTAGAAGGCATCCAGATTGAAGGGAAGAACTAAAATTATCTGTATTTGCAGATGACATAATTGTATATAGAAAATACTATAGAGACCATGAAAAAAGTACTAGAACTAATAAATGAATTCAGTGAAATTACAAGACCAAAACACAAAAATCAGCTATGTTTCTATATTACATCAATGAATAAGCCAAAAGAAAATTGGACAATTCCAACTATAATAGTATCTGAAGAATAAAATACCAAGAATAAATTTAAAAGAGGGATTGAAAGACTTGTACATTGAGAAACTATAAAACATTGCTGAAAATAATTAAAGAGCACCTAAATAAATGGAAATAATAAATATTTATGGATTGAAAGAGTTCATATTCCCCAAAGCAATCTATAGATTCAATCAGTCCCTATCAAAATTCCAATGGCCTTTTTTGCAGAAATGGGAAAGCCAGTCCTCAAATTCATATGGAACTTCAAGGAGCCATGAATACCCAAAACATTGAAAAGAAAAAACAAAATTGAAGGACTTACACTTCCCAATTTCAAAAGTTAATGCAAAATTAAAATAGTGTGGGGGCGCCTGGGTGGCTTAGTCGGTTAAGCATCCGCCTTTCGCTTAGGTCATGATCTCGCGGTTCGTGGGTTTGAGCCCCGCGTCGGGCTCTGTGCTGACTGCCAGCTCAGACCCTGGACCTGTTTCAGTCTGTGACTCCCTCTCTCTCTGACCCTTCCCTGCTCACGCTGTCTCTCTCTCTCTCCTAGAAATAAAAAAATAAACAAAAAACATTAAAAAAAATTAAAATAGTGTGGTAGTAGCATAAGGATAGACATATAGACATATAGACCAATGAAATAGAATTGAGAGTCCCCTTGATCTATGGTCACTTGATTTTCAACAAGGTTGCCAAGGCCATTTAGGAACAAAAGACCTATGCTGAGACAACAGGATAACCACATGCAAAAGAATGAAGTTGAACCCCTGCCTCATTCCATACACAAAAATAAACTCAAAATGGATCAGTAACTTAAAACTATAGAAGAAAATGTAGAGGTAAATCTTTATGACCTTGGATTTGGCAGTGTGTTCTTAGTTTTGACGTTAAAGCAGAAGCAACTACAATAAAAATAGATAATTTGACTTTTGTGTATCAAAGAACATTATCAAGAATATGGAAAAGACAGGGGCATCTGGATACCTCAGTTGGTTAAGTGTCCAATTTCGGCACAGGTCATGATCTCACGGTTCCTGGGTTCAAGTCCCATGTCAGGCTCTGGGCTGACAGCTCAGAGCCTGGAACCTGCTTCAGATTCTGTGTCTCCCTCCCTCTCCTTCTGACCTTCCCTTGCTTGTGCTCTCTCTCTCAAAAATAAATAAGCATTTTAAAAAAAACTTAAAAATAATATGGAAAAGACAACCCATAGGATGGGAAAAATTATTTACAATAATTATTTACTATTATTTAAAATTACTTTTAATCATTTGTTTGATAAAGATTTAATATCCAGAATGTGTAAAGAACTCTCACAACTCAGCAAAAAGAGAAATGACCCAATTTAAAAATGGGCAAAGGACCTTAATAGACACTTCTCCAAAGAAGATATGCAAATGGCCAGTGAACACATAAAAAGATATTCAACATCATTCATTAGTCATTAGAGAAAAGGAAATTAAGGCCACAGTGCAATACCGCTTTTACGCACTAGGATGGCTTTAATAAGTTTAAAAAACTAAACATACATAGAAAACAAGTGTTGGCAAGCATTTCGAGAAGTTAAAATCCTCAGACATTGTTGATAGGAATGTAAAATGGTACAGCCGCTGTGGAAAACAGTTTCTCAAAAAGTGATACACAGAGTTACCATATGACTCAGCACTTTCACTTCAAGAGAATTGAAAACAGGTGTTAAAACAAAAAATCATATGTAAGTGTTCATAGCAGCATTATTCATAATAGCCAGTGAGTGGAAACCTAAATGTCCATCAACTGATGATTGGGTAATACAATATGGTATATACATACGATGGAACACTATTTGTCTATAAAAAGGAGTGAACTGCTGATACATCATACAGCATACATCCCACAGAATAAAATATGAAAAAATGCTGTTATGGACTTTATTGTGTCCCCCTAAAATTCATGTGTTGAAGCCCTAATCCCTATTACCTCAGATTGTGACTTTATTTGGAGATAGGACCTTTACATTTTCTTTTATTTTAGTATTTGTTTATTTTTGAGAAAGAGAGAGTGCAAGTGGAGGAGGGGCAGAGACAGACACAGAATCTGAAGCAGGCTCCAAGGTCTGAGCTATCAATGCAGTCCGATGCGAGGCTCACACCCACTAACCGCAAGATCATGACCTGAGCTAAAGTTGGACACTTAACCAACTGAGCCTCCTAGGCGCCCTGGAGATAGGGCCTTTAAAGAGGCTATTAACTTAAAATGAAGTCATATTGGTGGGCTTTAATCCAGTGTGACTGGTGTCCTTTTAAGAGGAGATTAGGATACAAACTGGCACAGAGGGAAGACCATATGAAGATACCAGAAAAAGATGGGTATCTACAAGTCATGACCTGAACCAAAATCAAGAGTCAGACACCTAAATGACTGAGCCACCCAGGTGTCCCTGTATGGGTATGTTTTTTTTTTAAAAGAATCCTTGTCTTTCAGATATCATACTGAAATACTGTGGATGAAATGATAGGTGTGAGACTTGCTTCAGTACAGTTGGGGGTTGAAGAGGTAGTTGGATCTATTGAAACAATATGGGTAGAAGGGGCTGTTTTTGGAAGTTGCATGATGGGTACCTAGGGATACGTTATACTGTTGTCTCTAGTTTTATATATGTTATAATAAAGTTACACATCTAAAAAAGGTTGTAACTAGAAGGATGATCCTCTTAGCTTTTTCACATGGTGATTAGTGAGGCTCTCAGGGCTGTGTCAAGAGTTTCACAGTTTAAAACTGGAATCCAGGAAAAGAAAAACAAAAAGCATTTCCCTTTGAAAAGATGTTTATTCAGCCAGCCTTGCTGACAAAATTCTCCCAAACTCTCCTCACCCCATCTCACCCCGTCAGTCTAGATTAAATATCATCCTCTTTTGTGTTCTCTAAGTACCCTCTACATACTTCCACAGTGTACTTAATTGTGTACTGTCTGGTTCTCCCACTTTCCAGATCATAAATTCCTTGAAGATATAAACCTTGTGTATTCATCTTTATTCATCTATATACTCCCCTCGCCACTGCATTTAACATTGGGCTTTGTAAGCACTCTTAATAAATGGATGCTGAATGAGTGATAGGGAACGGGATTTGTGCTGTAAATAAAATGTAAAATATAGCCCCCTACTTTCTCCATATTCTCAGTAAACCCTTTTCCCAGGACTACTAAGGTATAGCTACAGAGCTTCTTTAAATTTTTTTCATCTTCTGCCCAACCTCTGACAGAAGTGCTAAAATGAAAGGTAAGTAAAGGGTAAGCACTGTCGCAAAATGGAAAACAGGTTTCTGCACAATCAGATGTTGCTGGTTTCCACTCATTCCCAGGGTATATAATGCAGTGAAGTCTTTTCCAATGGCTGTCTTTCTGTACTTTTTGCTATATTCTGTGTATCAGAATTCCTCTTCTGTGTGAATTCCTTTTAGTCTGTCTTCTTGGTACGCTTTAAGATGGTAATTAGAATGTAACCTCCTAGGGGCGCCTGGCTGGCTTTGTCAGTGGAGCATGATTTGAGGGTTGTTGTAAGTTCAAACCCCATCTTGGATGTAGAGATTACTTAAAAGTTTTTAAAAATCTTTAAAAAAAAAAAGTAACCGCCAAGAAAGGTGGCAAGATGTACTATAAAAATAACGTTTGCTCAGCATAACACCCTCAAGGTCCATCCATGTTGCTACACATGGCCAGATTTCATTGTTTCTCATTGCCATGTAGTATTCCATGGTATAGATAAACCACATCTTCTTGATCCATTCATCTGTTGATGGACACTTAGGCTCTTTCCGTGTTTTAGCTATTGTTGAGAGTGCAGAGAAGGACAGATATCATATGTTTGCACGTATAGGAGGATTAGGAGGAACTTGACGGAGGAACAAGGGGGAGAAGAAGGGGGAAAATGGTGGGGGAAAGGGAGAGAGGCAAACCATGAGAGACTCTTGAATGCTGACAAAAACTGAGGACTGATGGATGTGGGGGGGAGGAGGGATGGGCATGGAGGAGGGCACTTGTGGGGATGAGCACTGAGTGTTATGTGGAAACTAATTTGACAATAAACTATTTGTAAAAATAAATAAATAATAAATAAATCTGTAAAATAAAAAGTAAATAAATAAACTCTGGTTAAAAAAAAATAACGTTTGGTGGTGTGTCTGGCTGGTTAGGTTGGAGAGCATGCAACTCTTGATCATGAGTTCAAGCCCCACTTTGGGCATGGAGCCTACTTAAAAAAATTTTTTTTAATTCTGTCTTGTGCTATGTAGAGGGTTATCTAACAGTTTCCTAGTGGGTGACAATCTCCATATAGCAGACTTTTAAAAGTCTACAAAATTTTATAACTGGGAGAGACCTAAGAGACTAACGTGCTTTCCTATTTTCATTCTGCTGCCCCCATTAAAAAGAACAGCTTTTTGTATAATCACTATCTTTTTGCTGTCTTAAAATATTACATATTGTTTAGTCCCAAAATCTGGGCTAGTTTCTAAACTAGTACTTTCCATATTTAGACTATTGAGAAAATAGGACACACAAGTAACAACTGTTATCTAAAATGAAAAAAAAAAGTGTAATTATCATTTTCTTTTGGTCACAGTGTTGGATGATTTCTCGTTTTTGGAAAGCAGCAGAATAAATCTTAAACTTTAAAATAAAATATAATTACTGGATATCTTAACCTTATCAAATACTTAAAGATACTTTATTCTCTCTTTAGGTCGTACGGGACTATAATCTTCAGCTGTTTTTACAAGAGAACGCTGTATTTCACAAACCTCAGCCCTTCCAGTTCCAGCCCTGTGACAGTGATACTGTAAGGAAATTCCAGATTTGATTCCATTTGTTTTTAAGCTATGTTTGTGCTCAAATAACTGTTATTCTGGGACTAGACAGAAAAAGCTGAGTGTGTGTCTCCTTAATTTTATAACAAAACTGTGAGTATGCAGAGAAACAGGCATTTCTTCTTTCTAAAATGTGACTAATACCTCAGTATCTTTATGCTAGCAACTTAAATTAAGGTTAAATTATAAGACATGGTACTGGAAACCTGCAAACTGAACTGAAGGAAGAATTAAAAACACTCAATAAAAATTTTTTTTCAGTTTAAATATGTCATAATTTCCACCCATGAAATTCTTTACATGTACATACTTCCAAAGAAACCAGTGGTTAAATTTTAACTGTAATAGAATCAATAAACAGAGGAGTGAATATGTGCCTGCAAATATTTTGGTTGGCTTTTAAAAAAATTACAGGCCCTTTATAATTCCTTTCAGATTTCTTAGAATGACAGAGCATTAACATAAATGCCTAATTGGCAATTTTTAAACAGCAGAATTAAACATGCATTTTATCCTTGAGTTTATGAAAAACGTTTGCCATTATTTGAATTTTAAAGAAATAGAATCAAAATGCTAATTTGATAACATAAAAGAAAGGTAATCAACTTCTACAAGTTGAAAAAGCACATATTGGTATATCTAGCACATTCTTTCATTGTAGGCAAGCTAAGAGGGAAGTCAAATTTTATTCATAAGGTCTTTTAGTGAACCTAAAATCAGAACCAGGAGAATTTATGATGTAAGAATTTCATGGTATCAGTTTAATAGAAGTCTTTGCTGAAGATATCTTCATTACTTTCTTACATTTTACGGAGCCCTGTTAGTGGCTATGTAAAGCAATGTACGAAATCAGCATTTCCCTCTAGATTGTAACTCTTACCCCTTATATGAGTGCTCTTTTTTATCTGTTTGCCTTTGCTGAATAACTCAGTGACATTGTCCTATAATTTGACTTCCTTAGCTGAGAGGAAAGAGACTGAGCAATAGAAGATACAGAGTATGGACAAGTTCGCCAAGCTTGACTTAAAATTGTGACTAATTCTAGATTATTTTATCTTTGCCCATTTTCCTCTAAACTCAGAAGTAGACTCTTATCTCACTTGTCCAAAGCCCAACTACAATCTTAACTCCTTTGTTTCCAGACACTGTGCTAAATGTTCTTTGCTGCATGTCCCTGTTTGCTTTAAGATTCTAACTATGCCGTTTTCTGTCCTTGTGCAATCTTTACTGGGCAGAGTTTAAAAGCTGCCCAGCTGGTGGATATTGAGCTCTCCCCTGTCAGTGCTTTGAGAATGACCATAGCTGAGGTATATGGGGATGTGGGTCAAGGGTGGGTGAGATGGGATGTGTGGGTTTGCATGTTAATGATGGGTGGGACTTGGTATTGGGATTAAAAGTGTGTGTGTGTGTGTGTGAGAGAGAGAGAGAGTAAGGGGCCACTGAATGTATAAACTGGGGCTGTCCATTTCCCTGTATAAATTAAGGATTTCGTTTCCTATTTATAGTGAAAAGACTGAACTTATCATTTTTCATCTTGTCCAAAGCACCTTAGTTTTCCTCAACAGGTGTGCTGGAAAGAATCAGAATTAATCTTGACTTTATCAAGGAAAAATTGAGGCCTTTTTTAATACGACCCAGTTCAAATTGCAGTGTTTTTCCTGCAAAAGTCCAAAATGTCCAGATGAAAACATAGAGTCACAATATTACTTTCAAAACTAATTAAGACTTGAAGTGATTGTACCCTTTTTTTTTGGATGGGGGCTATCTTTCACTTGCTGTTGAATCGAAATTTCTTGTCATTTTATTTTAATATATGATTATTTTGACTTATGCCTTAGGATGATATACCAAAAGAAACTGAGCAAAATGGTTTTATAAAGACACAATTATAGATGGTTATGAGTAACAATGATCAGTGGCAAGTTTTGTCTGATATAGTAACTTAGTTGCTACCTCATGGTTAACATTGAAAGATTTCCTTGTCTTTATTTCCATATAGAGTTGTTGATTTCTAAAGTGTCCCTTCTTTATATCCTCAAATAACATTTCTCAGAAGATACTAGAAAGTCAAAAATATTTTCTAAAAAGAGTAATAAGTAACTTTCTTTGCTGAAATGAAAGTTTTTAATGCAAGGTTATTCCAAGAAAGATGTGAGATATACCCTGACGCTTCCCTTACCCTTGCCCCAAAATGGGATGTTCTATGAGGGAGAATTGACAAGAACATATATTAAGATCTCAATTTTAAAGAGTCATTCAGCTGTCATTTGGGTCATGCTTGTGTTAGAGATTCATACAGGTGTTGTACAATGAGAAATCATGGGCCTTGGAGTCAAATCCTGGCTGTGCCATTTGCTACTTGTGTTTATTTTATTTATATGTTTATATATATTTTACCTCTCTGATTCAGTTTTGTCAGATGTAAAATGTTAAAAACCTTAGTCGGTTTGAAAATTAAATGAGCTACTTTAAGCATTTGACTCAATGTCTGGCATATAGATCGTACAGAATAAATGTTGACTGTCTTTTTTCCTCTCTATCTTTCCATAAGACAATCATATTTCATTTTTTTAGGTTTTCCCCCTAATTACTATAGGAAATACCAGAATATCAAATATGGAAGACATTATAAAGATTATGAAATCTTACAACACTTTTGTAGTCCTGGCCCCTCTGCTCTTAAGTCTCTCATTTATTGTCCCTTGGGACTTCTGCTCTCCTTTTTTTATTCCACAATGTAGAGCCCATCAACCTCTCTCTTAGCAGTTTATAAACTTAAAAGGCAATCTGTGTAGAATAAACAGAAGCCAGTAGCAAACAGTGTCCATTCTTACTTGTTATCGTAAGAACATAGCTGATACTTTTCAGCATCTCTGCCCTACATACATCTCAGTGTTTGTCCCTTCCGTTACCAAAACTAGTGATGTGTGCCTTTAAGGACATTTCCTCACATCCTATGAAAAGGACCTTCTAGTCTATTTCAGCCTGGGATGGGGTATAATATAGGAAACACACATGTCCATATATAAAGACAAGAAATCTAAGAAAAATTTTCTCCCTAAATTTCCTGGTGAGGATGAGAAGTCCCTTTCCTGAACTGCAAATAATATCTTCACAGATATCACAAACTGACATTTTTATCAATGTCACAGATATTTTTTTAAAAAGCTAACAAATTTCTGATATATGATCTTTTCCTGTTATTTTAGCCACTACTTGTGATATTTAATTCTACTGTCTAAAAATTAAAAGTTACAGTAAGGGGCACCTGGGTGGCTCAGTTGGCTGAGTATCCAACTTCAGCTCAGGTTGTGATCTTGCAGTTTATGAGTTCAAGCCACACATTGGGCTTACTACTGTCAGCCTGTCAGCTCAGAGCCTGCTTCAGATCCTCTGTCCCCCTCCTACCCCCCTCAACTTGTGCTCTCTCAAAAATCAACAAACATTAAATAAATAAATAAATAAATAAAAGAAAGTTATAGTAAGTAAAATAGCCATTTGCTGTAATTTAGGACGTTTGCACATTAAACTGTCACTTAAGTGTGGCATTTTTTGCATCTATTAAAAATATGTGCAATATATGTAAATCAAACCAACATGCTATATACCTTAAACTTATACAGTGATATATGTCAATTATTTCTCAATAAAACCAAGAACATATAAATACCAAAAATTATCCTTATCTATAAAAGACTATATGGGACCAATATACCCTACAGGGAAATTACCTGAAAATTCTCATTGTTAATGAGTGGCTTTGTCTGCTGTGGAAAGCTTACATTACATATATACAGTGCTATAGCATTGACACATCAACATGAAAGCACAGTGATAGAGAATTTGTGAAAAATCCTCCTCGTGGGTAAATAGATACCATCCTCCCTCACGTATACTGACTACAGTATCCAAAAATGAAAGGCTCAGATTACAGACATGAGTGTTGCTCTCCAGAAACAGCCATGCTGGCAGTCAACTCTTCAGAGAGGGCTGTCCTAAATTCTTCAGACTTTCAAAAAGGGCTAATTTGCTCTTTGTAGAAAACCTACCATCTATATATAATGAGTCTGGTTTGGTGCTTTCTTTGACCATCCACAGGTATCAAGAGCTTTCCATAGATGCCTTGGTAACTGACACAAAGGAGCCTATAAAGTTCACTTTTTTACTTAGCCTGAGATTATAGCTCTTAAAGCAGATTCTCTGTGAGACTTACCAAAATAAAGGCATATTCTCATGTGGCTGTTCCAACCAGTCATGCCACTAGATCTGTCTAGAATGTCAGATACAGGGGTTTTTATTGGTTTTCATTTTGCTTTCATGTCATTACTGAATGGCCTGATTTTCTCTTAGATTTACCTTTGGTATTCTAATACCTCCAGTATTTCCTCAGACACTGTGCATGCTCAACCCAGCTCCCCAGATGAGTTCCTACATCTCTTCTAAGCACAAGTGCTGCCATCCAAGTATAGTCATAAGGAGCACTGCTCCACTTCTTTCCAAGTTGTGTGATATCTTTAAAAGATGTGACTTAGAGGTACACAATCTCTCATCAAAAGCCTTGAGGTCAGGTGTGTTTCAAAAATCAGAATTTTTCAGTGCTTACTTCAGCAGTACATATACTAAAATTGGGACAGTACAGAGAAGTTTAACATGGTCCCTGTGCAAGGATGACACACAAATTCATGAGGTGTTCCATGTTTTTAAAAAATAAAATCCTAAAAATAAATGTATAAATAAATAACATAGATGCCTGGTAGGCTCAGTTGGTAGAACAGAAGACAATCTGTGGGCTGTAAGTTTGAGCCTACATTGAATGTAGAGATTACTTAAAAATACAATCTTTTTTTTTTATGTGTATTTATTTTTTTTTAAATAGTTTATTGTCAAATTAGTTTCTACATAACACTCAGTGCTCATCTCCAAAGTGCCCTCCTCCATGCCCATCCCCCCCCCCCCCCCACATCCATCAGTT